TCCAGATTGCCTGAGTGAATGTCTGGAGGTGTAGGCACCTCGGAATGATTGTGTTAAGCTAGCACTAAGTCCCTCCCCCATCCACCTTTATTCTTTTCTTTACAATAAGGCTTTCAAATAAGTCATGGATGTACGGCAGTGAAGCATTGGTGTTGAGCACTGATGTCATGCTGTCGTTGATGATGATGATGATTCCTTTCAGCTGGAAAATTCGAAAAGAGTAGAGTTTTCATGAGAAAGCGAAACCGACGGCTATACAGTGAACTGGACACACGGCACACAATTAGTTAAGAACAAGCCTTAAATGATGTATGAAACTGAGCTTACATTTGTAAAAGCACAGCACATTGCTCATAAGATTACTGAAAACTCATCGAAAGCCCAACCGGTTTTGTTCCCCGAATTCGGGCTCATCATGTGGGAAGAGTCCCGAGGTTCCCGTCAACGTTATTGTCTACCTGAGTTTAAATTATGCAAAATTCGACGATAATGTTAATTCGTTTTTGCGGGATACGTACCTGAGTCTCTCCTTAAACTCTTGTTTAGGATACTCATAATAAACGAAAGATTCAGCATGGATTCAGTGAGTCACCCATGTGAGAAAAGGTATGCAAATAGAAAAATTTGCTGAATCTCGCGCAATTTGGATTCAGATAGAAACTAACGCTGACGGAACCCCGAGGACTATGCTGGTGAGCCTGGCGTATAAAAGCAAAACTGGTCGTGGACCGCCGAAGAGCTCTAGGCAACCATTTGAAAAGTGCACCAATTCCATACAATGTATTACGTTATCTCTTACCATCTGAAACGTGAAGCAGCCTAGTGCGGCACATCCAGCTGAAAGAGCACTATAAACGAGATATTCAGCTGGGATTCAGGTGAGTCTCTTGTGAAATAAGTGTATTTGTCGGAGTCATCCTTATTTATCTTGAACAAATATAAGATCGTGGAACTATTTCAAATTAGATAAATGGTTTCAGGCCTGAACACTCAGCTGAACAGAACTTTCAAGGTAGTTGCTAAACTTCAGCAATAAGTGAAGTGCAATACAATGTACTCTGGAATGTTCTACCACACAAGATGTCTTTTGTTTTTTCCTTGAAACAGCTCTTTTGCAAAAGATGAGCAAACATCCACCTTAGCTTGATCTCCCATAACAAGGTTCGAAACTCAACGAGTGCGTTCTTAAATATTTAAATCTTTATTGGGCCGACCCATCTCAGTACGTTTGTATGTCCTCTGAAGGATTGGATTTTAACCATACAACCATTCATTGTTCCATTCCAATTATCCATATAGAGGTTAGCGTGCGCTGGTTTAGAGGCCTACTTATATGTGCTTGCATTAACGCTAGTGTTTGTTTAGATCTGGGGACCAATGCACCTGGTGTCACTGGATACCACCGGGATTACTATAAAAGTATAAGTATCGTTAATTGCAACGGAATCGTTCATTTGTTGATGGAAACCGAATTCTAACGTGAATTCATATACCCGATGGTTCGGAGTGTCTTCACATTCACTTTACTTTATTCGCCGTTCTTTCGAAGTGAATGTCGTTTTTTACGGTCAAAGGGCAACATCAGTTGGATTGTATATATCCAGATTAACCAAGGAGACCTTTTAAATTAGGAAGTGATGCGTGCATATCCGGGTGCTTGGGCAGACGAATGTGTGGGAAATCACTATAAAACCAGTGCTGTCTTGACTATGGTTTGCTATCCTCATTATTCATACAAATTGCTAATAAGTCTCCTGGTCGCTGACAGAGCTATAAACCTGATTAATGTCGCACTATATTACAAGGGGGGTGGTTTCGGAGTCCGACTCGTTTTTTGGTTTCCAACATAGCTAACAATTGCAAGGACTTGATAAGCTTAAGTGAAAATCAACCTCTTTGTTCGGCAACATATTCTTGCCTTATTTTAGTGTTAGTTGACATTTTAGTACAGTGATGTATAAAATCAAGGTAGCATAAAGCAGCCACTTACCTTCGTTCAGTCTATCAGGATTTGTTTCATGGAGTAATTTAATCACGGCTTCGTGCAACTTGTCAGCATGAAGACCTCGGAGGGAACACCAGCGATTTTGAAAGACACAAGGTGTGATGCGGGCTGGATCCACTGTTTCTGCTGTGGATAAAACCAGGCATACTCATGTGTGGTGTTATATTTTTTGCGGCGGGAATAACAATTTTCTTCTCAGTAGGATACCTATTAGACTTCAAATAACTGATTCTTCAGCAAAGTAACATTCAAGTAACAACAGATAGCCTCGCAATTTTCGGTTTATATGTAAGAGTTTAAAAGTGCGGTTTGGTAACTGACCGAGAATTCTATCTAGAATGTCTCTAAAACTTCACACGCTAAATCACAACTATTTAATTGTTTTTTTTTCTCGTCGCCTTTTGCTATAATACCACATTCCATGACTTAGGATATATGATTGTGTAACGGTGAAGTAAAGAAACCACCTAAGACTGCTGTTTAAAGACTCAGACGATGATGACGAGTATCTAAGTATGATTACGTTATTGATAATGGTGACAGTGGCAGTGACGATGATGATCAGTGCAACGAATTGCACTTGCCACCTGATTATATAAACTAAGTATTAAAAAGACCCAAATTTGACTAAAGAAGTCCGGTTTGTTAGATTTGTACTCATACATACATCTTGTAGAACTCTGTCGATTTAGGATGATCACCTACTAACCGTTTTAGCAAGTTTTAGAAATCTCAAAGTGTGTTATCGAAACCGAACAATGAGCAAAAAGATACTGCAATGAGCTATCTTTTAGAGGGTCTGATAAACAAATTGCCTCATTTACTGGAAAACATCACCAGAGAAGGTGTAACTGTGTCAGAGTAGCATCCCTTACGGGTCCAATGTGTCTCTGAGAGGTGCCCATTCAGGCAGGGGAGGTATCCGTGGACTGAGGTTGTCTGGAGCTCTGATCCTAACCTGCCTTGAGGCTTCCACAGACCAGTTAAACCGGATGACGGTAAATGCGAGCCCTCACATCTGGAAGAGACTAAGTAGACTACCTCTAAAAGCTTGATCAAAAAGATCCAGGCTTCTAGGATGGTCCCCCTTTTTTGCCACATTCGTAGCAGCTGAGAAGTTGACCACGCAGTGTGACTATCCCCAGATAAATTATCGGAAAGTTACCTGGATTATTATTCCTCTTCCGTATGCTGTCAAATCCATCAGAAAGCTAGAAACACTGGAATTTTCACTAAAAACGTGGTATTTTGTGACTCATGCTCTATTATTGCATATTCTTCACTTGAGAATAAAATTGATATAAGAAAAATTCAAGCACTCCGACGCCTTGTCTACAAAACCTGTTGTCAATGTGTGTTAACTTTTTCCACATAAAGACCCTAATCAGCCCCTTGCATCAGATTTCGATGAGATATTTTTTGGACGCCTGGAAAGCATCGTTTGTGTGTGGGCTACCGTTGCTCAAATGGATGGAATTTAACGAGGATAAAGCAGGCTGAAAAACCCTGTTATCATCAGAAACGTTAAGGTCATTAATGACACCGCAACACAACCAAAAATTTAGTTAGTTATATTTAAAGCTTTCAATTGGAAAAAGGGAAAGAAGCTGAGGTGAAAAGGACTTCTGGCTAGCTTATCTCGAGTATTATGCGGAGCCTACACCCCCAAGCACACAATCACACAGTCTGGAACGAAACTGACAACACCAACGCTAGTGAAATAGTTGCAATTTTATGCGACTCCTCCAGCCAAGGGAAAAAGCGTTCAGGGATAGTCCATCCTAAGATAGTTTAAACAAGGGGTGCAACTGGATATCACTTGAGTCACCGAATTATACCGTCTGGGATTTTGAATAAACGTTGAGTTATACGTGATGTAGCATTTTTTTTAGCTTCCTTCGCATCTAGTTTTCAAGTATTGAAGGTGATTCCTGGCTGAATCACTCTTCGCAGATCAACTTAACAGCACAGTGTCTTAACTTCAGAGGTTTCCATCCTCTAGGATTAAAAGCACCTCTGATACAAGGCCTATTTTCACAGCTATGAACAGTTATTTTGACAAAGTCTTGGAGAAGCTGTCTCAAGTTTGGTCAGCCATACCGGGAGATGATGGGTTTCTAAACGTGGTTCTACCACCCTAGTTAGAGGTAATCAAGAAGAAATACGGTTAACTGAGACTGAGTATGACGGAATAGTTGGGCATGGCCCGAAGAATGATGGATATTGTCAAACGCAGATGAAGTGTGCAGAGATGGATTCTTAATTGTCAAAACACGAAACACCACTTGCGCTTTTTTATGTAACATTAATTTCATTCGAAGAAATTACTGTAAGATAACTTGGTTTCATGACCAACTCTGCCACACTAAGAACAAAATCTGTAAATCAGTCCAAATTAACAGCGCGAAATTTGAGGTGATCTTTGGCCTTCCTAATGGTTTCACATGTCTACATGCGAGTTCGCTGATCCACAGACTTATCGTTAGTCCTGCATTTAGACGGCTGACACCTAACACAAAATAGTTGAAGTCCATTATGTGATGATGTTTTTCTGTTCTTTTGAAATCTCTGTTTGATATGCACGGTCATTAATGCGGAACACTGAAGCTGCTACCAAAAGCGAGTAAAACAATTTTTGTTAACTTTTTGTGTACAGCGTTCTGAAGGTCATATGGGGCGATTCCGATGAGCCTAATGCGTCATCTTTTTACAATGAACTAAACCTTTCATCGCCATCAACATTATCGTTGACAGCGCAACATGGGTGTTCAACACTGATGATTTGATTGCGTACAAGCGAACCTAACTACAAAGCCAAACTATGAAAAGAGGAATGAGTGTGGATGGGGAAGAGGTCCAGTGCTGTCTTATCACAATCAGTTTGAGGTGGTCACCCCCTACATAGTTCGTGTTCCCGCTAATTATAACTCAATTTAGTACAAAGATATGCATAGCCAGACGCTTACTCAGATAGTTAAGCGCTTCTGTGAGTTCCTTATTTTCATCGTCCGCTTTCTTTGAAAGATCAGATTCATTACCGATCTCAGACACCAGTTGCCAGTCACAGGTATCAGTTGTATGTTCATAGCATACGCTAGCATCTTGGCTTGCAGCAACGGGTTGATCTATCACTTCAAATCCCAAAGAGTCTTCTGTATCAGTGTCGAATCCTGGAGCAGCTTCGTCCTTTCTCTAGCAAGGAAAGCATTATAAAGAAATGAGTGAACTGCAGTAAATGAATTGAACACTCAAAACCCACGCCCAAAATTACCATAGATAAATGCATATTCGTTGACCATTTCCTATGAAAAGGTTAAATTTTTAGTTTTTAAGTAGAACAAATGTATGTGGAAAGTTTAATTTATCTGCAACCCCCTTTTGTGCGCCTGAAATTGTCTGCAATGCAGGATTCGCAGAATAATAGTTCTGCTTCGAGCTTGATCTGGTGGCAATCAGAAAAGCAGTTGCGATTGCCGAGTCCGACAAACAATAAGTACACTGTGGTTTGAACTATTAAATTATGGTGATCTGATCTCATAGACTGTATGACATCCGCGTATCAAAAGCATGTCTAGGTAAGTTTCTCTCCATCGTTTTCCCGTCCATTTCTCATGTACACGTTGTTATCACTTTTTTGAACACTTTCTGCCGCTTTGGCCTAATTAATTTGGTGGGTTTACACTAAGGCAGCGAGAACTAAACAGGAGAACAGCTATTATTAGAGCTCAGCAGCAGCGCATATCCTTGGCCTTGTCGTGGTTTGAAATCCCGTTATCCGACATAAGAGGCAAGCATGTTATTGCTATCGTCAGTCGAGCGACACAACGAGGAGTGTTGCTGTGTTGTGGATCGAGCCGTCGGACAAACAAATCATATTGCTCGAGTGTGAGCACGTTCACTTGCTTAAATAGGATAATTCAGGTGCTTCCAGCATACACTAACGGAATAGGGGCAATGTATTTGCTTCGCGTGCAAAATGTGTGGAGTTTAAACCACAATACGGACAAGTTGATGCACTTCTAATGAGCTTTAATAAGACCAAGGTTGGAGTCCAATGTTGTTCGCCTTTGGTGTGGGCGCACCGGAAAATTGCGCCCGGGGGGATGAGAACCGTTCAAACCAGAGCACTCTGAATACGGATTCTACAGGTTCTGCAGTCACCTACAACTAATTACATATATATATGCATGGTTGAATTATAGGTGAACACATGAAAGAGGGGCTAATGGGCGTGAATGGAAGAATGAGACAGTTGGCTTTCAGGATTAATAAATAATTTGGAGTGAAAAATATCAACTTGCTGTTTAGACGTAACATGCTACTCGTGAGGTTGCTGCAAACACTTTGACAGCCCACGGCGGCTCATCAGGCGTCTAAATAACAACGTGCCGTACTAAATGAAACGTGGGGCGGTCTGATCCAATACATTTATTTGAAGCGGACCGTCGTTAGCGAAGTATTCAGCTGGATCCAGCTGAATGCTCTGTCAAGACCGAATTTGTATGCAAATGAGAATATCTATCGACATGGGCGTATTATTTAGGCGAGAGAGCATTTGGGTGACCAGACTTTTGTTGATCTCGTTCACCTGAATCCAGGTACTACGCTTCCAAATAAGATCTGGTAATAGACTGACGGAATGCGAAGAGTGGCAGCAACCTAGTTTATATCGTTTTAGGACATGCTATACATGACACTGCGCCAAAAGTCACGCAACTGCATAATGTCTCATACATAGGTTTGTAACTTTGTAAGTCATTTGGTTGCCACCCCATAACTATTATTATAACTTTTTAAGGAGAAAAAATCAATAAGCGTAAACTTTCAGCCCCCTATGTTGGCATCCTCTAATTTTGAATCTAAAATAATTTGCATTTTTGCAGAACAGCTTAGGGTAGAAGAAGATGAAAGTGAAAAGTGCCCGAAAGCCCACGTCACTTTGCTATTTGTTCCGGTAAACTTTACGTTGTGTCGTGTTGGGCTGACAGGAAGTGTGGTCACATTAGATCACACTAGAAGTTGAGGGGGATCACGTACCTCTAAAGCATAGGAGATATAGTGAATAATATCATGGAGTAGTTAGACACGAGTAGTCCTTACCGGATTGTTTTTAGTTAGAACACGAGCTTTCTGCAGTTCATTTCTGATGTTTTCACTACACGGTCGAAGTTCGTGAGCCTTCTCCAGATCCCTCAGACTATCTTCATAGTTTTTCAAAGCCTATATGAATGACACAAAATGAGATATGTATAATTTTTCACATCACTCTATCTACCGTGAAAAGATAAAGCCTCGTTTGATGCAGTTTGCTTAGTTCTGAGATGAGATTTCGGAGGAAGTGTACATTGAACGTTATAAACACCAGACTTGATTCCCTAGACACGGACTAAAAAGGTCGTCGAATTGAATGCATATGAAGCGTTCGAGCTCTTGTCATAGTTAACTCTCGATCCAATTGTTTCTCATGAACTTGACATCGAAATGCTATTTTGACGAAAATGAATAAGGAACCGCAAGCAACTTGGAATGGAAAGGTAAACAACGGGTGATTTTGGGAAAAATTGTTTTGACAGCGGATATACTGGCAAGCATGGTCGCAGGTACGGTCAAAACGGAATACACGAAGGCGCCAGAATACTGTTATGGGCCAACAAAACGCGGTATTAGTTTTTAGCAAGTAGCAAAGCATCTGCGAGAAGGGCTATGTTGTAAACCTACGCGTACAATGCAAGTTAGCTGGAGAACATTTCCTACTCATCCGCTTATTGTCCCTGGTTGGTGGTTTAACCTGAGTGGACGTATTTGCGGGCAACCCGCGCGTTTTTCAGCTCCAACCAAATAGACGTGGTTCCAAAATTTCAATCAGACATTTTGCCCCATGTTAATTCAATGGGCACATGCATCTCAGCTATTGATTTACATGTCACACTGGTTTGTGCGAGAGGTAAAACAGGTGCGATCGAATTTCTTCAGCTAAATATCTGCCCAACCGCACCTTAAAATAACCATTGGGCTACACACTCGGATGAAAATAATTTAGAATGCAAGCTTTGTTTCCATTAACTTTTAATCTCCCATTGGTACCAAGCTGATACATAAAATTAAGCGTTTCTACAAACCCCGATGTCCATCGATTGTTGTACCAGACACCATTGCTGGGAGATTCTTAAGCTGGTTCCTGTGTTACTTAAAAGTAAACTTATTAAATGCATGGATCGTTGTTATCCTGTCCGTTCCAACCTTGAAAATGTCAACCACAAGCATTTGGAGGTCTGATTTGTTGAGATTTGAATTTCTCATTAGTTTACAGCACACTGAAAATTTTTAGAGGCACTTCGAGTCTGCTGGACGTTAGATCCTTTTAACCTTGAATACGACGACCTACTTCACCGCTTGCATGCAAAGTCAAAAAATTGTTTGTTTCAGCATGTCCACTTGCGTCCAAATTGATAATCGACTGTCATTCTTCCCATACATCCATCAGAAACACACGCGTGTAAATAACGAATACCAATGGAACATAATCAGGAGATTCATTTTAAAAAATGGTTGCTGTCAGGTTCTCAGGATTGAACGAAACTGAAAGGGTGATGAACACGAATGAAGATAACCTGTGTGACTTTGGGAGACAAGTGATAATAACGAAAATTTTAAATAATTTAGTGGCGGAAAATATGAAGTAGGTCAATGTGCTGCATGAAACTGGCTGTACGATAATAATAAATGCAAAACCAGACACGAACGAACATGTATAAGTTCAGGAGCTTGCTAATAATGTAAATGAGCTTTCCGGAAATCTTGTTCCCCTATAAGAACAAGTACGTAGCTTTGCGACTTAGCCGTGGTGTCGACAGTTTGATTGATCTAACTAATGAAATAGCGGGTTTGTATTCTAAGCGGGTGCGCAGTTAGGTACGATAACAAGTAGTCAGACCCCAAATTAGTCACTCACAGCTTATAAGTGGTGTCCAAACACTATCCTGAAATACGCTAATGGTGGCGAGTGTTGAAACCCACAAGATATTCACTGATGGTGATCGGTAGCAAAAATTCGATTGCCTCAAGGCGTTAACTACTCAGCAAACAGTCACAAATAAATTATAAGTGCTCAGCTGTAACATCCTTTCGGGGCCTAGTTGGCTTGCTACCCGAAGGAGGCACGACGGCTTCAGTACTGGCAGTTTTCTCAAGCCTAGATAGGGGCAGTCTAGATACTAGGGCTTCTTCCGGATCAAAAACCTTCCGGTGTGCCATTTCGTGCCTTAGCCACTGGGCTACCTCCAGCGCAGTTGACAATGAGATTCATAGCTAAGATTTATCATTAGAATTACTTACACGAAGTCCTAAGGCACGTCTGTAATAGGAGACCGGGTTTTCAGGTTCGATAGTTATCGCATGGTTACAGTCTTCAATGGCTTTTGTATTTTCGTTCATTCGGAGTGCGACCAGCGCACGGTTTCGATAGGACAGTGCCAGTTGTTCAGGATCCCCAGATGCTAATTCAATGCTCCGTGTGTAGGCTTCCATTGCTTTCTGAAGATCACCCTGAAAACCAAGGATCGGAAACAATGTAGAAAAAGCTGACTTTTTAAACACCTATGTTGTGTTACGAACTCAAAAAAAGCCGAGCGAAGTCGGCCACATTAGAGAAGTGACCTTATGATAGAGAGAAGAGTCGATCACCATAGTGGCTTTACCAATTCACATGGTTGCACTAAGGCAAGCGACCGTTACGAAGAGGGAGTACTGTACATTATTTCTTACCTGACACGCTTCGTTTAGATAATCCATAAACACCATTTTAGTTGGACTTTGTTAGGATGGTAAATTGGAAATAATAAAGCCGTTCGTCGTTGTAGGTTAATGTTAAAGTTCAAAGAGTGAACTCTCTTGTCGTTTTTAATGGTATTTTTTGTGCATAGGCTACTGGTTCGTCCACTAAAGGGAGATAGTTCAGTGTACGCGGTAGGTAAAATTAGGTTGTTGTAGCCTTTGACCAGATGGAATTAACGTAAACTGGACAGATGATTCTGAGAAAAAGTTACATAAGACGCCATTGAGAATTGTGTCTATGGTAAAAAACTGATCACGTGTTTGGTTTGTGAGGTTAAAATCTCGAACATATGATTTCAAATATGATGCTATCGTACACTGAAATAGAATTTTAATAAATAATAATGACAGCAGCAGATTGTTACAACATCAAACCCTCATCTACTTTTTCAAACTGTTCGTTGAACTGTGAAGTAATCATGAAAACTGATTTACCTGGCCAAGAAGTTCTTTTCCTCGTTCCTTTGCTTCATTAAATGTCCTTATTCTCTCTCGCTGTGTGGAAGGGACCCAATATATAAAAGAAGTGAACAACAAATAAAAATAGCTTGTGGTACACAAATATTGCGCAATTTTTGGAAAGTAAGGTGTTGGCAGCAATCTATTGATGGAAATTTTATAACCTTTGGAAGAGAACGTAGAAATTACAGACTGTTCCATTTCAACGTTATGAAAAGGATGTGTGGGACTTTTTCAAACGCACCACGGGTGGTAGGAATAAAGTTGTAGATTTAGTTGTACCTCTGGCAGCTGTGTACTCTAATTCATAAACGTTTAAAGGATAACAGTAAACAGTTCGAGGAACAGGTACTATTTTGAACATGGGAGTGAATCAGTGAGCAAATGGTACCTTTAAGCGTTTTAAGCATGAAACAACAAATGATTCAATTAGAACGGCGCTGTTTGGTGCTCGTCCGGTAGGCGTAGTCACTAAAGTTAGTGACAGCCAATTACTAACTTGAACAATAACCTACTTGGGATCGCTGGTTCTAAGGATTCGATAGTCCTCTGCATTTACTACTACCATGTTCACATCTTTCCGTGCATTTCATCATACATTTTCACTGAATAATGAACTTACGTCCATACGGTTTTTCACGTCAAGGACTAATTCTCTTCCAAAGACTGTGCCTGAATCATGGCAGGCTATCTACAGATTTTCGGGGATTGATCCATAGTTCTTATTTTAAGCCGAACTGGCACTTATCCTTTGGGTTAATGATGCTGACAGCCATGTCGTCAGCGCGTCGTTTAGCAAGTCAGTTATGTCACGAAACGTCTGGTAGCCAGTGACATCGGTCATCAGTGCAAGGCAACAGTTGTAAGCCACAGTGGCGCCAGTTAACTTTAATTAGTGACGAGAATGGAGACCGAAATTTTGGAGCCACAGTGGCGCCAGTTAACTTTGATTAGTGACGAGAATGGAGACCGAAATTTTGGAGCAATCTACACCAAAGGCTATTCAGTGACATAGGTTTTGTCCTCATCGATGCCTTGAACTTAATTTGAGTTCCCCATCTTCACGTTCTGTACAACTAACAAATGTTACAGCTGATTTCAATGTGGCATATATTTCCGGCAATGAATTATCTGAAGACCTAGGTTTCGATACTTCAGGGGTTCTAGTGAAATTGAGAAATGGCATTGCGGGTTGCTTGGACATATTTCTAATACCAAAAGTTTCACTCTCATGTAACAATAGACTTTGGGAATAAATAAGTTTACCATTCCGCTGAAAACTACATTATCCAAACAGCTAGTTGATGATGCTTCTGTCAATTCAGGTCCAATCCGCTTCTGAGAATTCCGACTTGAACCTGAGTTTTGCAGGGAATTATCCTCTGTCTCCTCATAATGGTTGACTTGTGGTTGTGTTCTAACTTGACCACATTCACCATCGGTAGGAGAAGTTTCTGTCGGTGATGATGTCTGTGGTTGTTCGGGCTCATCATTGTCACTTAATTCTTCGATAACCATGCCCTCTCGACCATACGGACCTGGGTTGGAAGGATAATATACTTTCCGTGCGCGCACGCGTGCCTTGCCGGTGGGAACCTGATTTCCAAGGTTCTTTGAGCACCCAGCCGGGGACACCGTCTGACCCTTTCGACCTTCAGATATAAATTTTTCAGTACTGTCACTGGAATCGATTTGCACAGGCTGGTGCACGTTAGGTACTTGCAAGTCCTGTAATGACTGGGAGTTGTGACTGTCAAACGACTGTGCGGAATGACTGTCTTTTTGAGAGTTGATCGGGATGCCCTCGTCCGAAGATTCTGAGTCTCCCTCTTCAGTGATGAGTATACGACGTCCACCGGCCAGTCGGCTAGCCTGACGTTTCGTTTTTGCAACTCTCACGTTACGTAATAGGGCCTGTACAAGTAAGAAGCAATTAAAAGTAATGTGTTTGAGGCCTGGTGGCGGCTTTGAATGGGCGACAAGATGTGGATCGTTATGACTAAGATAAGAATAAAATAATATTAACGTACAATTTTGCAACGGCCGACCACCACTTCCGTAACTAGTAAATTTTGTGATGAACTCCAGCTTAGTGATTATGCACTGGGGTGAGATGGCTCAAGTGGTTAGAGCGTGAATTTACCGACCGGAAGGTTTGTGGTTCGAACCCGACCTTTGCCTCTCGACTTCCCCTGTCGAGGTTTCGGCAAACTGGCGGTATCCCTGTCCTCATGCTTCCTTCGGGTGGCATGACAGCTAGGCACTGGAAGGGTGTTACAACTGAACTGAACCATTATGCTCCGGTCTTATTCCACTTGATTATTATTGCAGTAGAAAACAATGTCAAGACGAAAAAGGAAAGAAGCTCTGTGCCAGAGTAACATTGAAAGAAATACTCCAACGATTCCAATCAACTTGTGGAAAAACAGTGGCGAAAAGTAGCAAGGATATCTAAGACAATATTTTCCAAAATGCCCGATAATAATACCCTGCATTATCTTCAACCAGACAAAGGGCAGATCAAGATAATCATATGCTGAAATGATATATAAACCATCGACATTCCGATTCCTTATTGCTGGTTTCACACTTTCTGTATTCACACCACTGTCATTTACACGGTTCTTTTCATATCTCGGAGCGATTCTTATGAATTTCATCAGCACCAAACGCTGGAGTTTCGATCTAGATATGGCTTCATAACGGTGCCCATCCACGACAACCCATATGGTCAGGCAAGTACGGAGCCACTAATTCATTGACGGATGGAGGTCTATCTGAGTTAGGATATTCGGCACGGCAAATCTTCTGCAGGCATGGGACTGTTCATGAACTACTTGTCACGAATTCAAGAAGAATCTATGTTTTTTTCATCCTTCACTTAAGACAGATTTTAAAGGCAAGAACTATACTGCATAGGAATTTACCAACCTTCCAAAAGAGGGCCGTCGGAGCCGTGAGAAGTAAACATTTAGCAGACTGGTACGTGCTGCTTCATTCCAAGTAGATATATCTATATTAGAGAAGGCTCACACACCGGGCACAAAAAATTTTCCCTCACAGTCCCACGCTGAAACTAGCAGTCTGTGGAATGCTACTCGTCAAACACTGTTGAGAAACCCCGTTCGTTCAAAAGGCTACTACCAGATAATGGTAGTATCACCGGCACACCCGGGAATCATCTAGTTACTCTGAACTTTTTTCGCAGCTCCTACGAACGGGTCAAATGACCTTATAAAAGGAGTAAAGTAATGACTGACTCATTATGGTGTGGGCATAAAACATAAGAAGTTGAACTGAGCAGAGTAAGAACGCCAAAAGAGAGGGACTTCTTTTCCAGGGTGACATGGATGAATGATAGTTGCATCCCTATTAGCCCGCTTGAGGTGAAGGTTATAAAGTCACTGAGTATCGTTTATTATGAAATTATGGACCCAAACTAAGCATGGATATTTCCCATTATACTGTCTTAACAATAAGATATCAAGGCGCCACTCACTTGAGCCTTTGTGTTTGTGGGTTCTTGATCTGTTAACCGCTCCAAGTCTCTTTCAGCTTGTTCTAGGTTGTGTAATTCATAATTCGCTCTGCCACTTCGAAAAAGAGCTGAAACAGGCGAGGGATTCAACAGAGTTTTATGTCATATTTTCATGCGAGAATATTCGCCCAGTGTTGTTTTCGAAAAAAGTTGATAATCAAATTGTACCTTATTAGGAAGATTCATGTGTGCTCCTATACCTATTAAATGGACTCTTACTAGAGACTTAGGTTGGCGGAAAGAAATGTGAGCATTGGAACAATAATACCCAGTGTTTATAAAAGGTTGGTACTGGTTCCAGTTGGTACTGGAACTAGCCAAGATAACCGTTTTGTAAGTTCACAAATGGAATATCACATTTGATATTTTAAGACAGAATTGAGGAGGTTATCATTGACACAAAGAGAAGTAAACAGTATAACTCATAGGCCTTGTTTATACGCCTCCTTCGAAAACCACTCCAGACAAATCCTAGATTTTGCTTCCCCAAAAGTTCGCCTAATGGGAAACAGCTAATTCCAGTTTCTGCCTCTAAAATTGCATCAAACCTTCACTACTAATAGTTGACTTAGTATGTTATCTGGAACACTATCATATCGTACTGAAGATAAGTATCTCTGTTTCCTTCACACTTTTCAGTCGTGCAGTTATTTGGCTTTCAAGGTCATTTCGAATGGGAAATACTTAACTTTTTCCAGCCGCATACCTTTTGAATTATTCGGCTCTTCTTGTAAGACACGAGCACAGTCCTTTGCTGCAGCACTCCACTGCTTTTGATGTAGATCTGAAATATGAAGAACAGGCGGTAAACTGCCTTGGGATCAGAACGTCGAATAAAAACGCCATATACTAAGAATATTATAACTGGATTATATTTGATTCTGCTTAGTTTTTACATGAGAAATATTTACGAAAAGGAAGAACTTCATTCTAACAGTGTGTGAAGGTTTTGAAAGACACTTCACGTTTACATTGAGTAGTATGCAGTTATCCAAAGTTGACTTGCGCAGTCAGTCCTTCTTGTTTGAATCTCGCAATAAAATAGATGGTTGACAGAGACACTGGAAGGCTTTAATCATGTCCAGCGTGTTAGGCATCTGTAGAGACTTACAATACTCAGAAAGACTGCTGACTGACAGTTACTTTCAAGTAACTACTTTTTATTATGACATTCTTCACCAAAACTTTGTTTTAATTGTAATGGCTTCCAGGAAAACAGATGTAGAAGGGAGCCAGAAATCCCACTTTGGTCTTACACACAACGTCAACCCTGAACTCGTAAGTCAGGTTGAGTAATTATACTAGAATCTTAGTAATGCCTTCGAAGCCATGAAAATCTACTGCTTTACCCATAAAACAAAAGTGGATTGAGTCAAGTTGTTTGAGACAGTCATTATAACTCGATTTGATCTGATTTGTGAAACGAAAGGACAATGAGAAAAGGGTAACTTACATATCAACGCTCGATTGTTATAAACCGCGGCCATCGGAAGAATTGTCAGACTTCGTTTGTAGTACACCAAAGCCTCATTGTGATCACCAGCATGAAATGCCTGCCAAGATAGTGAAATTCGTGATTCGGGAGGATGGGTTAAACATACAAAGCTCTGAGTGACTCTGCTTACTTTTTCTACCGAAATGCATTTACTTGTTCACCGACTCGCTCACATTCGTCCCCAGTGGAATAGCACTCTGTTGCGGGAGAAGCTGTATGCACACCCGAAGGCGAGTCTCTCACATAAAAAATTACAGCGATGTTAGAAAGAATTAGTATAACCTGAAAAAGTGGAAGCGCATTAAAGCTGCCTGTTTCTATTTACACAGTTCATCCTGTTAGACGCCGTAGTCCCACCACGTCCATTAATCGAGTATTGGTCCATGCAAGAACGGATAAAGTTGAGGAAGTTTGTAGGTAGAACGCGTCGAAGTTGAGTTTTGGCTGAATATGGTAGAATGTAGATACTAAAATGGTTGAAATGTTGAGCATCTGATAGGATCCGAAAGGAGAAGTTATAACAAGCGTCGGCATGACTGCTTATCTCAAAGATGATTACATCTATAGACACGGTTCAGGTACCGTACAACGGGACAGCAGAGAACACGAGTGGAGAATTTCCAAGACAAGGTTGTAGAGAGCATTGTGCTACCTGATTTGGCTTACAAATGCCAGTCCAAGACTTCATAGAGAGCACATTCACTTGGGAGAATTTGGAATACGAAATTTAGTCTAAATGTAAAGGTTGTACTTATCATTATTTGAAAGGCTGTTTTTGGGTCAAACAGATGGAGTGCGATCTGGATTCTTGATAGTCCAGGATTATCTTTTGTGAAATTTGCCTTCGAATTCATAGAAGCGAAAAAAAATCAAAATGGAAAGTCTGGGTTGGTTTTAATAGCAGACACCTGAGTGACTTTTCAACGAATCGTGCCAGTGGAGAGATTTCTCAGTGATTTTTTCTTCATCAGGTGAATTGCACAGGCTCAAACGATGAAATCCACCGTTGTAACTCTATCACTTAGCAGACATTGTTGCCTCATGTCGGTTTCTCCTTGAAGAACGAGTATCATAGGTTGGTCGTGGCTGTCATGTTGGACTGATCGATCTGCGATGTGTACACATATCAACCGACACCAGCTGAATATGTTCGGGAAGCAAAACTCGTGAAATTTGTTCGAAGTGCAGCACCAGGTCCCGAAATTTCCACATTATGACCCACCATGATGTTTTGCTCAGCTTTATCCTGCATATCACGATGAGCATTGTGCATGATATGAGTTTTCCGCTAGTTTCACTGTCTCAGACGTTCTACGCAAGCTTGAATAATGATGTATATCCGTGAACACTTAAGAACAACTGTGTGATAGCTTCTTATATGGATTTTACGAGAAAGTACGGTCAAAATAGTGTGAACTTTTGAATTCCAGAGTCGCTACGCCAGAGAATGTGTTTGACCTGCTTGCCCAAAGCTATAACATCTCCAGGAGGAGACAGTAAGTGTGGATTACGATACCAAAATTCAGGCCATCGTTGAATCCGTTCAGACTTCTTGGGAAGGTACCCAGCTAATCTTGTTTCGTTTACCTACAACTTCAAAATGTGCTGAAAGAGGTTTCACTAATGTCCACTTCTGTTAAGTACAGGCCTACTGAGTTTGAACGAATCTGCAAGGCTCGGGTCGCGTTTGCTAAGTTAAGACACCCATGGCATCAAAGCGGTGTTTTCTTGAATATCGAAGGATGTGCGTATGAGGCTACAGTACGGGGTCTGTACGGGTCTGTATGGTTGTGAGACTTGGCCTATTCGGACAGCGGAGCTGAGACGTCTTCAGGTGCTCAAGAATCGTTTTCTCAGAACCATAGCTCGTGTGGGTTGGTGTCGGCGAATCCGTAACGAGACAATTAGGAAGTGAGTTTTGGCTTGTGCAACGATACCTCCACTGAAGAATGTGTCCAGCGCAAGAAGCTGTGCTGGTTGGGACATGCGTTGCGCACGCGTACTCATCGTTTGCCGAAGAGGGTGCTGTATTCCATGCCCAATTCAGAATGACAGAAGCAGAGAGGTGCCAATCCTTGGCCTGGCAGAAGGGTATGAAAGAAATCACGAAACTTTTGGGTGCTCTTGATGCTACTTGCCTTCCAGAAAAAGGACTACGTGTTCCTCACTACACCCGGTTTGAGACGCTGCAGGATGTGGCTGCCAACCGATGTCAGTGGCGATCTTGTTGTCAGTTTCTATCCAGAGTACCTGTATGAGTGCTTGAAGATGTGGGAACCTTGGAATGATTGTAGTAAGCTAGCACTAAATCCCTTCCTCATCCACCTTTATTCTTTTCTCCACAATAGGGCTTTCAAATAGATCATAGTTGCACGGCAGCGAAGCATCGATGTTCAACACTGATGTCATGCTGTCGAGGATGATGATGGTGACTGACTTTGCTGGGCATCATTTTGTTGCTAGTGTATTCGCTCTTGCCGTGCCTTCATGTGTGTATGCTGCTACCACTCCGCCGTTCTGATCTCATCGCCGCCACTGAATCACTCTATGAGGTGAAAGCACAGCGGTGAATGTGCCTTTAGGGATGAAGCTTATACTAATTAAAACTGCAGTCCTGTTGGATGCAGTCGGGGTCATGGATTGAAGATTACCGTTGGACCGAAACGGCCAGTGCATGCTGACTTGGATGGCGATCCATCGACCACTTACGTGCAATGACCTTATAAATACCTGTTTACCTTATTCTGGCGCGGTGCTCTATCCTGCCATAAGCTTCGTCTTAGTGGCAAGCTGACTACTAATATGAAAAAGTAGGATGGTATTGATCATCAAAATCATTCGGAAGCCGATCAATTTACGTCACACGTTGATGAAACAGATGGACACTTATTCGTTTGTAGCAATCGGTAATCGGTTGTCCTCCCCTAACAAAACACGTGTCAACAACTAGCTACTACAGGATGTAATGCCTGAAGTTAGTTCTGCCCTTGTATCAGCGTCGCTCAATTAAACTTCCCCTGGAGTTGTCTTGTTCTAATGTGTGTGATGATTTTGCAGCTGTTGGTGGTTTGGATTGATCCGATGACTAGGTTTTGCGCATATCGACTTATAAGGGTTCATTCTGCCCGTTTACGGTTCGTTCAGTGACATAACTATCCTACAGCGTGCAAGTGTAGAGGCAGTCAACTCGCGTTTTTCGTTCTCCAAACACCCATGGGGATTTCGAATATAAAGAATTTGGCAGTTTATCTAGTCCTTCACTTGTCCCGAAATAAAGCACTAGTCTGCAATGAATGAACAAAACTGACACGGACTGAATTCTCTGAGGATCTGATTAATCGTGGTTTGGTTTCAGATTTCCATAAGCGCTACGCCTGAAGTCTTCGGGTGGTGAAAACAAGTGCTACGATTCCTGGGAAGTGCATTTCATCATGCAATATGTCCTGATTGTTTTTACGAACGCTATTTCAGTCTAGGAATGGATCATTGTTTGAACAACAAAACATCAGTGGCTCAGTAGTTGCACCTTGCTAAAGAGGAAAAAATTATGAGATTCCGGGGACGTAGCCTTGACGGCCGAATTACCGTGCAAGATGCTCGCACCATACATCGAAGTTTGAAGTTAAAATCCACTCACAACAGCTTCAGTGGTGGCAAGTTTCAACAAGGATTTCCAAAACCAATTAACCTGATTTCGCGGCAGATAAAATCCCAGAAATGCTGGTTCGATAAGTTATCCACCGGAAAAAAGTCAAAAACAACTTGACAACGTTTCAGTGGACATGATGTTAAGGGATGGGTATGACTTTTCGCGCAAACAACACAGACAGGTATTCGCATTGGAGATCAGGTAAAGTATTAGTTCACTTGTTAACCAGTGTTGAAAAATATCAAAGTTAGATATGCAGATGATTAATATGAGAAAAATACCCTGGATATAGACAACTGTGAATATGACCTGGCTTAGCAGAGATTATTTGTGGGGTACGGCCGGCTCGAATGAATCACAAACGTGTTGTAGACACACCCGACGTCCGACGCCGTTAAGTTAATTCGGATTTTGGAAGGGCTGTTTTATTTGCCTGAAGACGGGGAATAAGTGATGATTATGACTAGGGTTGTTATAATTTGTCAGGTCGTTTCTTTCGACGATTTTCACAGTACAATCAACTGAAGAACAAAGTGTATCTTACCATGATTACGCCGTTGCATCGACCATAATCTAACAAACATATGCCTACTGTTTGTATGATTACACAGTGACGGTTACTTACTTCATTGCCCTTTTCCTTTTCACGAACTGCCATCTGACGTCTGGTATGCTCGGGAAGGCTTTCAACTCTCTTGGCCAATTCAGTGAGGTTTAACTTTTGGATGCTCCGAATTTCGGTGTCCGAAACATCCATCTTCTCTCCTTTTTCGATACCGATGTTGGGTTGAGCACAGTTCGACGAAACGTCCGTTATGGTGTCACTTAACTCCTTGTCCCATTCTTTTTCCAATCTAGTTTAAGCACAGATAATATTCAATCAGGATATTGCAACCGGGTCAAATTAGCTTTGTTGGAGACGGTCACATCCTAAATAAAAATTCATTGCACAATAAAATATCTAAAAAGCCGGGAATAGAGTCGCATAATAGATACGGTACGCGAGATTCAGGCCAATCAATCTTTGTCGCCATCAAAACCAGAAAATGGTCGATAGGGAATTTGTTGAACCAACTTTATATCTCGTCCATACAAACGACATTTCTCCTGCTCCAACGAGATTGTTACCGTTGATCCAGGTTTAAACGTGGCTTCAGGGAAGGAGACTTTCGACCATACTAGGGTTTATCAGCAGCATATATCGTCGCGGGGTCTTGAACTGTGGAGCGTGAAATTAATGTCTTACCACCACCCAACCATCACACGCTGGGCGCAATTACGAACACTTTGATGCCACATGAGCCGGACGACCAGATAATTTCATCGGGAGCGAGTGGATTAAGCTCATAGGCATGAGGTCCACTTGCCTTCATGCAGTGATGAAGGGCTCTACTAAGAACCCCAATGAATTGCCGCTTTGGTGTCGCTCAAACAGAATGATTGTGATGTAACTGGAGGAAGACTGTTCAAACGATAGTCTTCTAGAAAACAGTCTCAACTCGCTCCTGATGTAGACATGTCTTAAAAACTTTGGAAGACCACAACAGAAATTCATATGGTTTTCTACACTAGAAATATTTGGGCTGTGTACAAAATGTATTTGATACAAAGTTGGAGGTTACGCTCACCTGATAGATCCCAAACGTCGAAATCTGTGGTGAACTGTTGATTTATTTTCATACGATTCATAAGTATGTTGATGTGTGTTATGTGCTCTTTGGTTGGTCACATTTTTCGCAATAATGGAATTGTTATTAAGACTGCATAGACAATAATTTTCATTGTATGCAGCTAAATGAACCACAGCCTTTTTAAACTCAAACATTATTGTGCGTTCTAATGCCTCTCATTCTTTCGTCTGCTGACGCATTATCTGTCTACACCAAGTTTGTTGAAAAAGTGCGGCGCACAAAATATACTTGCACCATAATTCACTATTAGAGTGACAAAGTAAATTAAATTGTACGCTAGCTGAACATTCAAGTGTTAGGCTTGGATAAATGGGCTTTACGAGAAGTCCATTCGAACGCATAGTTTTTTGGATAATCTGCTCCTCGGTCTCCTGATATCTATTGGTCTCGTGCTCTACCTGCCTGGTAGTAGATGGGGTTTCGTCTCCGACTTGGAGAGACGAAGCTGTGAAAAGAAAGGACGGCAACGTTCACGTCTTTACGGACATCCACATACCGCTAGTAACCGTCGAATCTAACTATGACAGAGGTTGAATATTCATATGGCGTTGAGTCCAAAAGTTCAGCAACTGTCACCGTATTCTGTCTATTGATGCACCGTTGAAGCTGAATCGAATATTTTCCGTGCACCGCAGAAGGAAAAACTTTTGACTGTGCAGATTGCAAATCCCATCTCGGTCTTGTTGTAGCGAAATTATTGGTAAAAGTAGTCGACGGGTTCTTCGAGGGTCACGTTGATTAAAAACGTCAGGTGAGAAAACCCCGCCATCTTTAGGACTAAGCGAATCCGTCAGACCGGTGCGATCCGACCCACATTTTGAGTTGTGGAGTTAAATCTTTGCAGACACTGGTCCGCTTTTCTGCTAGGGGCCAGGGCGTCTTAATACCATTTTTAATGCTGAGAAATGTATCCAATTCGCTTTAGGTTACTCATGTTAATGTCTGTTATGTATGGTTGCTTGGGTATTCTTGGTTTGATGATGGTGCTTACTACCGCAGTAAATTCGTTTTCACGAGTTGTTTGGTCTTTATCAGTCAACATCTTGGCAAACTGCGATTCAACCGAAAGGATGAACCCAAGCTTCCTATGAAAACTAGTTCTGTTCAGCAATATGACCCTAACTCCCTTATCTGGCCTGGCCATCAGAATGTCACGTCAAAATATTGTCATCATGAACCCTTTTCCAGGACATTTTTGCGCCCTGACACCTATAACGTTCGTTTGCCGTCAGTGCTTTAAGGGTGTTCTGTGCTAAACTCCAACAAAGGGGCAGGCTTCAAAATATGTTAGCATGAATTCCAAAACTGTGTTCCTATGGCTATCTGGTTACGTCTATTTCTAGTAAACAGGACCAATGTCAAGTTGCCAGTACTTCAATCCTATTCTCGCAGTTCAAAGTTCAAGTTAAACAATTACTACCACACCGGTCTAGATTGTTGTTGGCGTCGTGAAGTCCTTTTGAAAATGTGTATCACTTAAATATGGACTCCATTTTGACATAAAAAATGTACAAAATCCTCGAACACTGACGTCTCCTAATCACCTAGGGAGTCAAGCATGCTGGTTGATCCTGACTGACGTCACAGTAGTGCCTTAAGCTTGATAGAATATCACGTCCACTTTTCGGACACTACTGAAGAGATTTCACCGCTGACACCATATCAGTTTTACGTAAGGTGACCCAATATTTTTAAGAAGTGCACCCGTTCAAAAAACCGATAATGGAGTTCCCACTAGTCTAGGCGATTGACCTGAGGCAGTCATTCGGTAATCTCAGCAACGGACAGTCTTTGTCCCGATGCAGTGTCATACTGAGCCACCGGCAACATTCGGAACAAGGAAGTATGTATCCAACCATGCGCCCTTCTCATGAGAATTGCTAAAGGGCAAGGCATAGTGAGAACGATGGCTGATAAACTGCCAAGTTTGCCTAGTCCAAAAGGGCTGATTTTGACCAAGAGACTTACGGACACTAGGTCAAACCCAATGCGCTGCATTATGCCGAGCTCACAAACAAACAAGGCAAAAAGTTTGTAACAACCACGTTTTTCCTGCCTTATTCAGTACTAATATACATGGTATAGCTACATGGGATATTGTACCCAACAAGATTCTTTGTTCACATCACCAATTAGTTGCAAAGTATTCAAACTACTCAAACAAAAACAAGCAAATGACTCTAAAATCGTCTGCTAATAAGTTTGCCGCTTGCTGAAGGCTCAACCTGATACCCCTTCTTCCGAATTATCTTTAAGTGAATGTGCACCAGCTGGCGCCAACAGCAAATTAGGATGGTCATTGGAAAAGAGCTAATATATTATAATGACACTATATAATATGCATAAAAATGTAACTTGCATAACATAAGACAGTATGTAATGGAATAGCATAAAACATAACTCAACGTGTGACACATGTTGATGATTAACTATTCAAATAAGATGAGAAACAACATAAGCTGTGTAGATAGCTTCGGCTCCAATAATCCCGGAATTCTAGTTACAACTAATACTTTTTCAACGTGTAGGTAAAAATCGCTATTGTTTGTATAACATCTTACGAAGAGAGGAGGTGAGGAATACTAGTGTGCAATGCTTAGCAAAGATAGCGGGATTTAGTAGCACTGAATGGCTCTCCAAAACTGAACTAGTTCTGACTTGGGGTCGTTGTGAATTATGTGATGGGGTGCTTAACCCTCCAGGCTCATCTCGGTAAAAAACAGCAGGCGTTTGACGACAAGGTGCCAAAAGTGTTAAGGAACGTGCTCAGTAAAAACAAAGAGGGCTACCAGTTTGCATACAAATACTAATACTAATTTAGCGAATTTGTTTTGCGTAGTAAGAAGGTTTTGAATTTCTGATTGCGGATTTCATCATGCTAGTAAAGTCAGTTTATATTGATCCGTCAGCATTGCTCGTCTCACGAATCGATAAAATGATAGGAGCCCATTACCTTCTGGACAACAATCCGAAAAATCAGTCACCCTGTTGCCAAAGGGTGCTGAAGAATACAATTAACCCAACGTACATGGACCCTTGTTAGTCTACATTGGTTTTGCAGCTTTTATACTCGAGACTTATGAGGATGAATGCATCAGCTGGAAAATGCATCAAGAGTATCACTCATATCGGCGAATAGGCATGCGCATTACGTTTCCATGTATAGTAGAATTGAAGTGGATCTTAGAAGCAGAGCCAAACGTCTGCGTGAGAATGGGGAAAGACTGCCGTTAGTGACGTCGTTCATCTACTGAACAGATGTAGATAGACAAGGGGAGAGATAATATTATCAAGTATACTGTAAGTGAAGACATATTAGCAAAACGGAGCGAGCACACATTGATTACTTACTTATCCCACTCACTGTAGTCTCTGGGTTTTACGATTCTTTTTGGTTTATTCCCGTCTCCATCACACCTAGCCTAAAATGAAAAGCAGTCCGTATTATTCGACTCTGTATTGATGGAAATAGTGGCCAATAAGAGACATAAACAAATATGATTAAGCTTCCCGAGGGTCACTTAGTATGCCCTTAGACTTGCTCAGCAAAAATGATAGATTCGTGTGAAGATAAAGCAATATTATCCGCGCTGTAATTGTACCCTGGCGGAAAGAGTATCCAACAGAAAGGATTCAGGCCGTGTTGCTAACTGTTGATGAATTATGTCTCCAATGTACGAACAAAGTGAAACTGGATAGACAGTGAATTTCTTCAAAATGCAATCAGTTTTTCATCTCATTGTAAGCTTTTAGGGAAAGCTCGTTCTACAGAAAGCGAGGTGATGTCTATTGCTGAGTAGCTCAAAATAGAAAACCACATGAAAATCTACCTGTGAGTCTCAAGCAATCCTGGTTAAACAGAAAAAGAATCTCCACTTACCCTTATTGCCGATTTACTATCCCCTCTGAAGAAAATTTCACGTCTAACGGCCGGAACCTCATCGTCATATTCGAGTCCCTTATCTTCCACTTCACTTTCCAAAACAGCCACACGTTTCCGAGAAATGCGTTCCAACAGAGCCTCCTGTGATAGGTCTTCACCTGTCTCAGTATCTCCGCTTTTCATTTCTTTTAGCCAGTCCTGAAGAGTAAAATCATCGTTGATCAAGAGGCAAACCTTCATAGCAAGTGAATGATGTACATACAACTGCAGAGAATATATGGACTTCATTGCTATGCTGCTGTGAAGATTTTAGCCTTCCAAGACACGATTCCCTTAACCTTGTTTCATTTTCTGAACTATTCTTTTAAATGTCGACTTTCCAACTAAGCCCGTGTTAACGCAAAACTTGAGGGAACTTTGAGATGATCTTATTACAACACAATGCAATAAACACGTGAGCCGTACCACACGTTAACAACGTTCTAGTTTGCAGATGGATGATCAGTTGTGGATGCTGACGGCTAATGGACAGGCTAACACATAATAAAGCAACTCTGAGAATACATTCAAAGCACCACACCCGCCTATAAAAGTTGGCCATCCATTTCTGACGTGTGGATGGGAATTATCAACAATTTGGACATTTAGTGTTTGGGTTTCAGTTCGAAGCGAATTCGAAGTGGCAAAATATGACGTGCAGAAAAATCAAATTTCTGTGTCTAGCCTTTTCAATGGAAACGGTTTTTCCTGCGCATGACAAAATTTCTGGTTGGAGATTTAGATATGCCCGATACGTAAAAAAACGGGTTGCTTGAAGTAACAGCACAACGGCAAACCTATGCAGAAATGGTTGGCTTTGTTGCGGTCACTCACTAGATCACTCGTCACGAACACTCTAATCACGTGACAGTTCCTGTCCCACTTGCAATCTTGGCCGCAACACTTGCAACATGTGCATTACAACGTCCCATCCATTTTTGTTTACGCGGCTACCACATGCGTAACACGCCAGGCTTATGAACTTCAACCACATCAGGTCAAGTTGTTCCGGTAAGTAGGCATACAACTCGGCCCAATACACACACGCGCACACAGGACAGAAAGTCAACCGAGCTCCACAGGTCTCCACGGGTAACCAGGGGACACATGTAACACTTTTTGCATTGTGTCTATTTTTATCAAGTGCACCTAACTAGTTTATTCGTTATCAAATTGGTAAAACAGACGTTTATTAGTGCTTGTCACCTGATAATCAACCTCATTACGTTACAACCAGAGCACTAACATTTTAAATAAAAATTCGATTCTGACAACTGGGCTTGTCATCAAGAGGAAGCGTCTGCGGTTTCAAATCTGACCATAAAATTTGGCCTATTTCATCCAACATGTCGCACATGCGAACGGTCAAGATATCGATAGAGTTCCTATATTCATTGTTCGGTGACAGATCTATTCAGGCACCGGTGAGTGGGAGCAACCAGTAATTACTGTTTCTATTTCTTGGAGGAAGCAAATGACTGCAGTCTAATCATTTTCGTCGGGAGATTCCCACGCATTACAGGGTTTCCCTACTGGGCGCGAGATTTCAATAAAATCAGTTCTTTGTGTCTGTATTCTTTGCGGCGACTAAATAGTTTGGTCTCTTTGAATACTAGGAGGCCTGACGCAATTATTCATGTGAGTTCACATCAACTGGAAGATGTGCTGTACTCAGGGTTTGCACTTATTAGAGCTCATCGGAAGTGCTCATCTTTGACCGTGTCGAGGTTTGAACCGCGGATATCTGACGTGCGAGGCAGACCTGTTACAATGACTCCATCAGCGCATACTAGACGCACTTGAATTATCACGTCTGGACAGGCAATGTGCTTGATTTTTTTGGCGCCCCATGTTGTCAGTTCTCGCTGTAGAGTTAGCTTTAAAAAGTTTCTGCAGGCTCATTTCTCTTGCTTAGTGGAATGCGTCGTGGTCTCATAACGTTTCATACGTTTATCGTTAGCAAGTCCTTTGCGGTACCTCTCTGGTTACTCTGCGGAAACTTACACAACGAGCGTCACACATTATATGGTCGGGTTTCAAAGCGAACACAAAGGGGTGCTGATCGGTGGCACCTGCATATTAAGTGATATTATCTTGTCAAGGGCAGCGTCTTCCCATTGTCGTGACAAACCGATAGTTTTTATACACCCCTTTATCGCGTCTATAATACGTAGCACCCATTGTAAATGCACCACCACCTCAGCAGTATTGCACAAGGTCCTTTTTGCTTACCATTTCTTTTGCTAACGCGTCGCACAAAAGATTGCAAGCTCGGGTATGACTTCTATTTTGCCCGTCCTTTAAGGCAAAACCGAGGCCGATTACTGCAACTCAGAGTAGCAATCGGCGCACCGAATGACTGGCGCAATAAAACGAGTAAATTGAAGCGTTTATAGTGAGAATTTTGTTGGACCATTCACAAAGAAAACGGATAACTTAAAATTCGAAACTAACCTGTAATCCAGTCTCAATAGCTTCACGTGAGGACTGATCCAGTTGGTCCAATGAACCCAATGGCATTGACACTCGAAGTACACGACTAGTTAATTCGGGATGAATATTGTTTACTGGGTTTTCTTTATCAATATAATAAAATAGTACTGCAATAAATAATACCAATAAAATAAGTAATAATAACAGTAAAACCGGTCGCTGTCAGCCCAAAATGAGTCAACCAGCTTTCCCATTGGTTTTGCTTCTGCCAGTTAATTTAGATAAGAACGGGCTAAAACTTCAAAATTTACTGTTCTACTCGATTTAAGATCAAAATTTCGCCATGAACTGCCTCGACTCTTCTTGAGTGACCGTTTCACCTAGGGTCCTTTCAGAATTTCAACCTCGTATTCCGAAACCTGATAGACTTTGACGTATCTCAAAGACTCAAATGGGTGGATGCCAGCATATCCCCAATAAGACAATCATACAGTGAGTGTTTGGTTGATCCACTGTTGATTTCAACCAAGGGAGTTTATTCGGCACCAAACGCTTCGGTAGTTTGGACGTGTATTGTGGGAAAATGTGTTCTTTTCCGTGCCCACTTCAGAGTGGCACAAGCAGAGAGAGGGTCAAACTCTGACCTGGCGGATGGAACTGAAGGTGATTGTCAAAAGTTTGAGTACCACGGGTACGACGCGCCTCCCAGTATAGGGGGACTGAAAGATATGGCTGCTAGTTGATCACAGTGGCTGTCATTTTCGATGTAGATTGTCCGAGCGACTATCTTCCGGGTGTAGGCACCCGGAACGGTTGTATTGGGTGGGTAGTAGGCTTCTTCCCCACTGACCTTTATTCCTTTCATCATACCTCCTAGACCTTCATATAAATTTTCGTCTTCCGTTAGCAAAGCATCATTCTTATACACTGACTTCGTGCTGTCGATGTCGTTGTCGAGTTGTCATCCGAAGAGTGAAAATGCTTTGAAAATTACCAAATAGATCATCAAATCACTAAATAAATCGTCACTGAAAGATAATTTTCACAAACAAATATCGATGAAAATCGATCGTTTTTCAGCAGTGGATAACTTGAAAATTAGTTATCCTGATTCGACCAACTTGCGCCCCTTGAAACTTGAAACATAAACATATCTTGAGTCAGATGATGAATTGATATACGTGAACAAAAAGCTACTGCTATCAGCTTACTTTTCTGGGTCTATATTCCTGATACACTCCTCGCAACAACGTTCGAGTTCTGCATAGTGTCCCACTTCACCGGATCTGGATCAACGACATGACAAGTAGATGACGCTGTGAGGTATATGGGGTTACTTCAGAGTCTTCATTATTTTCTCTAATTCCTTGATATCCTTACATTCTTTGATGTATTTGAAATCCAAATGAGCTATGGGAATATCGTGCGCCTTTGTCCGTTCATTGTGGTACATGTGGTCTGTCATGGTTGATCGGATCAAACAGTGCTGAAACAAAGAAAAATTTCACTAATTTGGGTGTTAACAACCTCAACAAAAAATCGCCCCAAGGATCTGAGCTTCGCAGAAAGATGAAAGAAAAAATAACAAATGAGGTCGACTTTAGCTAGTCTATCACTACCTCAGAGTCACCTTGGCCGTTCGGCATCTGTGGGTTTTCGCAGGCATTTTGTTCGTTACATGCTTTCTTATATCGCCAAGATCTGGATATCCACGCTCCGCCACCAAGGTTATTTTCCTTTCGCACCACAGATTAGTAGCCATGATGATAACTGTTCCTTAAAAAAATTTGACGCCATTCGTTGTTTCCATAAGGTTTGTCTGACACTACACCACCACCAGTAATGTGGCATCAGATGATGGATGCTCTTCAGTCGATCTACTGAAGTCATGGCTACCTTTACCGGATTGATCACCGGATTAATCGGTATCAAATAATTGCACCTGTTGATTACAAAAGTGATAAAAATTGAGCTGATGCCCTTTCGTCACCTCATTCATTGGTCCAAATCTTCGGAGCCCCCGAACATGAACTAACCAGAGAAAGTCAATCTATTCAGTGTTGCGATGGTACTCGCAGTCCTGATTGTCCCTCCCTCTAGTATCTCCAGGAGAAGATCCAGGTTCCTGATGGTCCTTGGGAGTGGAAAGCTAAACCCATCGTCTTGTGCACAGCATTCCGGAACATATTTTACGAAGATTTAACCTTGTTGCTTGAACACATTATAAATCTGAAGACTAAAATAGAATTCCAGGGAGATATTATTTGGTCAGAACGATTCATCAAACCCAGAAGGCACGGGTGTTGAGGTAGGAATTTCAATAGCCATACACAGGTAAATTTCACAAAAGAAATTGACCTATTTGGTTGTTTCTGGTAACCTAAACGACCAACATGCAACCGGTTCACCACAAAGTTAAAAAAACGACCACCACTTAAGAAATCCTAGGAAAAATCGTAACTGCTAGGGTAAACACATACTCAGTAGAATGTATCCAAACTCAGAAACTAGATGCATGAATTAGCTGAAAAATCAGTTAATTCCTGTAGTTGGTCTTTGAGGGTGAAGAAAGAATAGCTATCAATTTACTTTTAGTACTCATTTCTTCATAAGCTTGCGTGATTGGCTGGGATGCGAGCCACAGTGCATCGTTTATCCCATATGCCGCTCCGTTACATTGGGTAAAGGGAGTTAATTGCTCTGATTTACGTCCATTTTTCCTGTCGAAAGTGATCCTCTTGTCGGTTGTATGATGACGTAGACTAGAATGGATTCAGTGTAAGTTGACCGTGAAATTTACGCACCATTTGGATTGTCGTGATTATTACATGAATCAGTCACAATGAAAACGATAGAAGCCCCTTTATTTGCAATAAAATTATGCTCTCTGTTTCCAAAGCCACTCGTTAGACGACCCATAACGAATGAAATTTGTGAATCCCCGTTATTGTGGAGTTATCCAATTATTTCACGGCACGCGATGGCGACAGTGAAATACTGTCTCACGTTTCTATCCAATACATAAATTTTGTCCCACACTGATCCAGCTTACACAGCTTGCAAGTTATAAAAATTCCAATGTTAGAGTGGATCACCAGCTATCCTTTGACGCAAACAAAAACTCTTGTACATATAAATTATGGTCGGCTGATGTCGAACTCGCATGCGTAAAGTATATGTTGTGAAGCCTTTCAGATCTGGGCTTTGACTTATAATGTACTACTGACTCCCTTCTACTTACCTCCGATATCTGCAAAATAGATAACTTGGGCAAGCTGAATAAGACTAATCCAAGACTTTGGATCCTTTATACTAGCAAAGACTGTCTTATGACAACCGATCCACTAATATTGATTGCCCTACCTTGGCAAACAGCTTGCGTCAATTGCAGGCGAATACCCCACTAAAACAGGCCGCAGCCGTAGCTGGGCTCATTATGATATATATATATATAGCTTACATAAATACATGCAAATACACAACTAGCCGGATATTATGGTTTCTTAACTCTGGCTGTGTCCTTGTGAATTTTTTATGCATGGTGAACTATGTATTGGGGTTGCAGTTCAATGTATCACTAAATAAGAAGCAATTATGCACGTATTTATTAACGCACGAAAACGCGGATTTTGCTGAGTTTATTGAGGTATGCGTGGCTAAACAGAATATTATGAGGGCGAATATGAACATTCTCTTATATGCACTGGAAAAGGAGCCGATTCCTCATCGCACGCTTTGACTGTCAATGCAGTCCTAGTTGGTGCCTAATTTTCGGAGCTGAAGAGATAGATACTGCAGTAACTCCTGCCTTCAAGTTTTCAGCACACATTACGGAGCCATTTTAAAGGAGTGGACTTGGAATGAAACCTATCCTTAATTTTTTATTTATTTTATTTTTGTGCCTCAAGTCAAGCTGCTTTCGACTAAAGATTATTTACGACGGATCCACTGTTGAAATCAAGACAAGAAATTCATAGTTTATCTGCGCTCTCTATTCACTCTGCTTAAGTGCTTTACGCTCAGGGTCACTGACTCAGTAGTATGGCGTATGCGGCGTGTGAGTTAGGACACCAACAAAGATCTGCAGTGAAATTATAGGAATTAAGCCCACCAGAATTATTCGCCAGCGTAAAATCTTCCATATGGAGCAGTAAAGTGGAAGTACCACGTGGCAAATCTGGCGAGCTACACAAAGGAGTCGGTGAGCAACAATGGAGAAGTGCCGCCATGGATCGGAAGCCCAGCATGATAAAATATGGAGGGTGGAACGACGCACAGTGATAAAAACGACCTGGCTCAGTTAACGCTGTGAACTGGACCGCACCTCCAGAAGAAGCCGACGAAATGCGGTCCAGCAATCCGGCCTGAGAACATGATGTATATTTAAGTGACGCAGGTGAAGTACGGTAATCCAAAGGCCACGTAGCACGACATACCACCGAACACCCGAGCAGAGTTCCTCAGAGCCACATCGTAAGTAAGAATTTAGGAACTCCAATCAAGCATGTTGATAAGAGGATCAACAACCCCAGGAGGTGTATGATGTTCCATAACATCCCGGACGCCAACACGACAAGGCCAACATATTCAGCTTGGTCTCAAAACTTTTATGGATTGATGACAACCAAATTTTAAAAGAAACGACCATCCAGGCTGCAAGGGGACAAACCCAGTCAGCTCAAAACTGTGTTTTGGTGCTCGCCTTAAATGATTTACCCACAATGTGACGGAAGTTAAAAGGGACCACCGTATAAAAGAACCCGGAACCACATGCACAGTATAAGCAGAGAACAAGGGTTGTGGTGTCAGAGGTGAATGAGCTTCGCAAGAATGAGGAGTAGGATTAGGTTAATGTGATTTTTTTGGGTGATACGATGGCTCTGATAGCCAGTGATATTGTGGCTAGTAGGCAAATAAAAATGTGTAATAGTAGACAGGACCTCTAGGAACTGAACCCTGTCATATTCGGTGACAGATGCGAGAATGGGCAGATGATCATCAGACATATGTCATCAAAATCACCAATATGTGGTCAAAAAACTGCAAAAATACAGTATTTGGACTTTGCAATGGAGGACTATCAGTCCGGCACTGACAACAGTTAACGAAGCGCACAGACTAGACCCGAACCAAAGGTATTGACAAAGCTTAGGATACTGCGAAATGCTGTGTACCACAGCGACAAATGCCCGACATACACACGACAGTAGGACAGTATACATATATCTATCTGAGGTGGATACATGTGCCTATAAACTATGTAGACGACAGCCGAATAATCACCACTGGGGATTCTGGCTTTCTGTCCATCTACTGGGCGGTGTACACACAGTGTACTCGTTGTGTTTTTGAACTGGGTGATAGAAAAACAAAACTGGTACAATAAATTCGGGAACACGCTAGGAACTGTACCTGGCAACGTTTAATGTTACTGGATCCTCTTTACGAAGAGTTCGCACACACGTTGACGGAAACAGTACGAGAATCGCTTTGAGGAAGCTGTAAGAGCCCCATGGCTTTTAAGCTAGGCCTCATGGTTAAATGTACACGCGACGACCTGTTCCTGGTATTCTAGACGGTCGGTTCTCAGAGTATGAGGGCCGGTGTGAGCAGCACACGCTGGGATGTGAAATCACTCAAGATTGTTGGAGATATAAAATAGATGGGTTTATGGGGATCTGGTGAAATTAACTGCTATGTACGTAGCAAAAATGCTGGAGAATACTGGGTCTCATCAAACCCCTTAACCGTTAGCCCAGTTGTTAAAGTTCAGATGCAGTGAAGCCACCGCATGAAAGGGCCTCACAGGGATCGGAAGCCTTGTTAGGTGTGACAAATCCAGAGAGTTTAGCATCCACTGCAAATAAATAAAGGTTAACAAATGAGGACCCTAAGACGGATGACTTGTAATGGTGGCGGAATAAGTGCCACAAAGATCACTGCTGTTCTAATGAGAGAAAGAAAGAAGAATTCACGATTCTGGAGATAATCAACACAGAGGGCGGAGTCATCACTAATGCTCAGGAACGAGTGAACCGGCCTGCTCAACACCCACCGTGAAACATTCGGCGTACACTAACCCCGAGTTGGATATCAGTGATTCAGCGGTGTAAGCTTCATAAGCTGAATGACTGAGACAATCTCTAGTTCTACTTGAACGGAACAATTACTACAGACTTCAAATAGATCCAAAGCACTAGGGACGGACGAATCACACATTCTTATGCTCAAAAAGGTATCCAAAATCATAGCGCCACTAGTGGCACAGGTACAAAATCGGTCATTAAAAACCGGAGATTTTCCCAAAGAATGGGATGCAAAAGTGACAAAACCATTTCAAAATGAACACAACTATATGGAATCCAATTCCCAAATGAATCTTCCCAACGTCAGTAGATCTCAAGACTCTTAAAAAACCAAGCGCTGGATGCTCGTATCTACTTTCACGACGTAGCTGGCTCAGCTCAATTTGAAATTGTGTATACA